TTTGCTGACATTTGGCCGGCTCGCAGAGTTCTTGGAAATGTCTTTTCATGTTACTTGTTTGGCAGGTTTTCTATCTTTACTAATCCCCAGTACAAAAATCATTTTTGGGACTCAAATTTTTAACTTTTTTGTTTGTTTTTGGGTTTGCTTTGTAGTTTTTTGTTTTTTTGGTCTGGCGCTGGTGTGATTCAGGGTAATTTGGTAGGTTGATTTGACCATTTCTGTCCTTCCTGGTGGTCAGCGTCACAACCACAAAACAGAGGAAAAGCTGTACGGACTGAAATTGATTTTTTCAACCCGTCACGCTTATTTCTGCTTCTCAAACAGCCGTAACTTCAAGGAAAAGCTTTGTCCGCTTCAGAAAACCTTTTGTGAACTTTTTATTCATATTTAAAAAAGGATTCTTTAAAAAAGGGAAGTTAAAGTGTGAGTAAAAACAATAAAAAACCTAATGCTAATCAAAATATTCATGGAATAATTTAAGCCGTAGCCACGTAAATCTAACACGAGGGTCCAGGGCTTTTCAAGCACAACTCGCTGTCCTTACTGAGCTTGTGACCTCGTGTTTGTGTTCAGTGATTCAGACAGCCAAAGCTAACTGCCCTCCCTCTGTCTACCACTGCCAGGCTGAGCAATGACTAAGCCCCGAGTGGCGCTAAATCACTGGCACTTGGTGAAGTGCCGAACCTACTGCTGACACCATTTCTAATTCACATTCTCAGTGCTTATTCCAATGCACAGGGGTGTTTATCATCGTGTTTATCATCAATAAGCACCGAGCAGAACGGGTTTCCATTCTCTACCAGTCTCCATTTCCACATTTCAGCCTGCAGTTTGTTTGGCCGATGCATGGGAGTTGGAGTTGTGTGAGTCAGAGTAACGAGTGGTGTTTATGGTAGTTACAGCAGGAAAGAGTGGATCTGACGTCTGAAATGAAGTTACGACTTCTGTCGTTGGCCTCCAAGTTTCCACATTTCACACTTGATTGGCTGTTGATTAGACTGTTCAGTTTTGTTTTCTTTTTTTCAGTGTACATAATGGCACATTTACAGCAGCTAATCAGCTTCCTTTTCCTCCTTTTCAACTGATTACATTTGTAATGCTCATAATTTATTGCTGTCCTCTATCCAGGTGGACCAGCAGCCTTCTCTCCCGGTAACTTGAGCACCAGCAGCAGTGCCAGCAGCACCCTGGGGAGTCCTGACAACGACGAGTACATCCTCTCTTTTGAAACCATCGACAAAATGCGACGGGTGTCCTCGTATTCTTCTCTGAACTCCCTCATAGGTAACCAATGTCCAGTACTACCCGAGTTCTGTCTGTGGTTTCCTACAAGGCTTCGGTGTGACATGTTCAAGTAAATGCTGAAAAATACTTAAAGTGTGCAAGGGTAGAGAACGACCCCGAGGAGGCACTGAGGACGTGAGATGTGTGAGGCAGGTGTTACTCACTGATCCTCAGGCCAGAGAAGAATGGAGAGCGACGCAGAAGCACCGGGCAGCTCTGACCCCGGGGGCTCTTTTGAAGTTGATGACTTTTCCCCTCCAGGATCCCTTGAAGCAGACATTAATGTGGTGGAGGACCATGGTGGTCCCAAGCCATATCAATTCAAGCCACTGACTCAGGCACCAGTAAGACCCAGAGCTCGCTCTTTCTCTATCAGGGGACTGTCCTGCTGCAGCCCAGTCATATGATGTAAAAGGAAAGTGTTCAGCTCAGTAGCAGTGATTCTTCAACCAGGAAACACCGCTGCGAAACGTCCTGTGTCTCAAAGAGAATTTTTTTTTTTTTAATACAGCAAGAAGCGTTTTTCAAACTATGAAATGTAGGTATGTTTATTTTGGTTTTTTTTAAGATTTTGGTATAAAACATGCAGAAAATATAGGCTAGACACACACACGCACACTGTCATTTACTATCGAAGTCAAAACCACATCTGCCACAATAACCGTCTTTAGCAATACTTGCATTTACAAAACCACAGATGATTTGAGAAGCAGCATGCACAAGGTAAACAAACA